TCCTGCTTGTAGGAAGGATCAACTGTAATGCAAATTCACTCCAGCTCCAGGTCGTGGAGACCTGTGAAGGCTCTGGCCCTCGATGTGTCCATGTGTCGAGTTACATTTTAGTCTGATACATAATATTCTTGTGCTTCTGTTCTCAATTTTGAATGCCCCATTGCCAGTTTTGCTCTTTAAAACCTTGAACCTTCGTGCTAATGTGGCTCCTTGTCCTGACAGCACATTCTATGCTCTTACGGGCAACCTGTCAATTTCAAGCAGCAGTGAGGGCCGCAGGGCCAGTCTCTTAAGCGGCGGTGCCTTTGGGGGCCTTCTGAGGTTAAGAAGAGATCTTGGAGACTGTTTTGACTCACCGCTATCTCCTCAGACTTTGAGGTGATCACCATCACCTCACCAGCACCCTAACTCCACCCTCCCTCCTGTGATGAGGGAGGCCGAGGCTCTGGACAGCACTTCTGATCTGGCCTCAGAGCACCCAGCGCCAGGTGGGATCACCCTTCTTTACCACAATGAAGGAAGAGGCTCAGGTTCAGGTTTAGGCTCAGGCAGCACGTGACTGGACAAAATCAGACAAAGCCAGGACCTCGAGAAGCCAGCTCCTGTCTGCTGACTGGGACCCTTACTAGATTCTAGAACTTCAGAGTGAGAAAGAACCTCGATATCATCATTTAACTTAAGCTCTTCTCCTAAAGACCCTTGGGTGCAAAAAATAAACTGGCTGTCTAAAGTCAAACACCCAGTCACCAGGACAACAGCTGAAGTCTCTGGATGGCCAAAACGAACATTCTCTTGGCAAGGAAGGAAAAAAGAAAACAAGAAATAAAACCCCAATTTTCAGTTCCAAAGTTCACGTATGATAAGAATCGGAGGAGAAGCGGTAGGCTCAGTGAATGCTTTCTAGAAGACCAATGGGAGCTTGTCCTCAGCAGCTGGAATTTGGCCTGCAGACATGGTTAGTTTGGGCAGCAATGGCAGGCAGGCTGGCTCTACCTGTGGATATGGCCCATGCTGGTAAAAAAATTTAAAAATATTTAACATAAGAGTTCAGATTTCTGGGCTTTTGGTGAAAAATTATTAAAAATTATAAAGGTCTRGCATGGTTCCATTCGCATCCCCAGGTGAGAGAGGGCTGCCTTCTCGGTGGGAGTTTCTATGACGGCAGGGTCTTACTGTGTTGACCAGACGGTTTGGAACTTGTGGGCCTGACTGATCTCCAGTGATCTCGCCTCAACCTAGGGTTATCCTCCTTGGAGGGCACAAGTTCTCTGGCTCCCCACCACCTGCACTGCTCCTTGAGGTTCCCTGCCCTGAGGCCATATGTCACACACCTCTCCTGGGCATACCCTTTCCCTTCCGGCACTCTCAGTTGCTCTCTACTGGACCAGTGTTGGTCCTCACTGAGGGCCTGGAAGCATTCAGCCAGGTTGAGTGACCCTGTGTGGCTTTTTTTTTTTTTTTTTAACAATACCACTACAATCTAACTACGGGGCAGAGTTGTCTGGCTGAGGCATCCATATTCAATACTTTTAAGGCATGCTACCAGAAACCTTTAAAGAGGACAGAGAAACAGTGGAAAGACGCGTGGGGAGGCACGTGGGCTGGGGTGTGCAGAGAAGCCCAGGCCCATGGCAGGAGGCACGGCGGACGGTGGAGCATGCTGAGCTGTCGGCAGACACGTCGCCCTTCACTTTCCTACACCCACACCCACAGAGGGGGAGCTTCCTATGGAATGGGTTGTCAACACTCTTAGTCACAGAGTGCACTGTGGCCACCCAGGGGGAAGCTGGCTGACAGACACCCTTTTTGAAAAGCAGAGACCAGCTAACAAGGCAGGTGGCACCCTGTCTCAAAGGTGTGGCCACACTTGAGCCTTTAATTAAATGGCCCTACACCTAGGTATTTGGCAACACGGCCATTTTTTGGCCAGCGGAAGCACAACCAGCAGGGAACTGTGTTGGACCAGGCCGTCAGAGGCCTCTCTGGGGATCTCATCAACCAGATAGTTTTGTTACTACTATCAACCTGGAGTTGTGTTTTGGACACTTGGGTGTAAATTCAGATTCAAAATTTCTATGTTTGATTCAAAATTTCTATTCAGTAAGGAGTAAAGTGCATTCCTGTGTGGGGAGACCAGCAGGGTTCACCCCAGGGCCAGTGGCTCATGTGTGACATGACAAGTCAGTCCACCTAAGCACTCTGCAGGCATGAGTCTCCTCACGTGGGGGAAAAAAAGCAAACTCAAAAAAGCTGCCACATGCAAAGTAGCTGGCCCATGGAAGGTGCCTAGAGGCTGCCCGTAGCTCCCCTCTCTCCATGGATTGCTGGCTGCACTTAGAAGTCCAGCAGTCAGGTATCTCCTTTAATAGTGAGGAAAGCAAGGACCCCAAAGGGGGTCTTTCAGGCAAACCGGGGCAAAAACCATGCAGTTTTGGAGACCTGGGCTCTGCTACTTTACCCAACACTGGTAAAGGTAGGTAAATGCAATAAGCTGGCTCCTAAGGGAAATTTCAAGTGCAGGTGGGGACAATGACAAGGCAGTCCCTAGGATTTCCAGGAGCTTGGCACTGCAGGCTGAAGGGTTTTCAGTTTGACACAGACCTTCGTCCTTTCCTGGCCCACCCTTGCCAAAGCACATCTCTTGGCTCGTTGCTAGGCCTATTATACACTCAAATTTGGCTTCTCCATACTATCTGAGAGCTGCCCTGCTAACCAGAGGTGAGGCATGCACACTTCACCTTCACAAATCTCACACATCTGCACACATGAGATCGACCCCAAGGTCCATTCTAAGCGTGGCTCCTGGTCTGTAGATGACAAGATGACCCTTTAAAGTTTCAGCTGGGGGCTGGGGATGTGGCTCAAGCGGTAGCGCACTCGCCTGGCATGCGTGCAGCCCAGGTTCGATCCTCAGCACCACATACAAAGATGTGTCCACCGAAAACTAAAAAAATAAATATTAAAAAAAATTTAAAAAAAAATAAAGTTTCAGCTGGCAAAGTTGAAACTGTGCCCAGCTGCATTCTTACAAAGACTTGCAAGATCACTGCCGCRTACACGGGACTCTCCCTGATTCCAAAGAGAACACTTTTCAAGAATGTTTTTAGGACAGAACACGTGCTTCCCAGGAACCAGAGCCCTAGGTACTCCAGTGCAGCTCCACACTCCACAGGGCTCCACTGTTCCCCTCCCTTGCTCTTATGAGATTGTGTTTCAGAAATAAGTCATGGAATGCTGGCCGGTGCCAAGTGCTCACCTGGGAACGGTAGAAGGCCATTTCTTCCAGGTAAGCAGTATAGGAGGAGGGCTTGAAAGCAGAGGAATTCACTAAGGGTATCTGAAACCCCGAAGTCCAAACATGGATTCAAACCCTTATTTGAATATTCTATTTTAAACCTGGTTGGTGGCAGGGCAGAAGACCGAATTAATTCACTCATTGTACTAACTTAAGTCTCAGGCCTGAATTCTCTGGTGAATTATTTTTAATTTAAAAAACAGGCTCTTGCCCTATTTAAAAAAAAAAAAAAAAAAAAAGGCAGCACTGAGGAGAAACACAAGAGGCTAAATGGCTCCAAAGGCAGAAGTCACTTGTACAAGAGAAACTCATGTGTCTCCATGACAGTCTTTCCACCTCCAGGTTCAGGAAGTGACCTCTGCAGTGCAGCTGTGTTCTAAGGAGGCAAGAGACAGGTCAGTCTGTGCCACTGCTCCTGAGGAATTCTAAGTTGTGGATGGAGGTAAACAGATGTGACAATATAATCACATAATGTAATCACATAATGTAATATTAGGCCACCGTTTATTTTTTTATTTATTTTTTTTTTAAGAGAGAGTGAGAGAGGAGAGAGAGAGAGAGAGAGAGAGAGAGAGAGAGAGAGAGAATTTTTAATATTTATTTTTCAGTTCTCGGTGGACACAACATCTTTGTTGGTATGTGGTGCTGAGGATCGAACCCGGGCCGCACGCATGCCAGGCGAGCGCGCTACCGCTTGAGCTACATCCCCAGCCCCTAGGCCACCGTTTAAAATATGACGAGGTTCCACTAGGTTTGACATAAAAGAAAATATATCAATTTAAAAAGCAAGGTGCACAAGGTATTTTTGGAGGAAAACTTATGTCTATGTATGGGTATAAAAAACCTTCAGACACACTGACATCCACCATCTATATTTAGCCTCAAGGGTGCAATGTACACAGGGCTCTAAGAGTCTGTGGAGACACACTTAACAGTGACAGGGAGGAGCAGGAGATTTTTAGTCTTCCCGCTGTACTTTTCTTGTCTTTGGGGTCTTCATTTCTCACAAGGGCACTGGTAATAGGTGACAATTTAAACTAAAGAATAAAGTGACTGGCTTTACAGAATTCTAAGGGTGGCTCCTGTGTGTCCCTGTTAAATGCCTGTGCTGACCCTCWGTGCTGACCCCCTGGGGACAAACACTAGGCCTTGGAAGGCCAGGGCCAGGGAAAGGCGTGGCTGGCAGGGTTCTCTCTTTGCTGGAGGAAAACAGGCTCCAGGCACCCCCCACACACACCACCACCACATTTTTTAAAGCTATACTCCCTAGAGCTCCCACGTGTCCGGGTGCGCAGACAGTGGAAGCAGGATCCAGGAGGAACCCACTACCAGCTGAGCGCCGGTGAAGGGTGAACCGAGCCGGCCCATCTCCCTTCTCAACCAGCTTCCCAGCGTAGAGCCAGCCCCGTGGAGCACACCTGGGCACAGGTCTGCGGAGGTCGCAGGCTCTGGGCTGGGAGAGCTGCGCTGTGTTCCAACAACCAGCTAGAGCCAATTAATCTGGGGTCAGTGCTCAGACAAATGTCAACCCAGAGCAACTCCCCAAGTGGACAGGTGGTCACAGGGAGGGTGGACAAAGTGTAAACAGTTTTGGTCTTGTTTTTAAACGAGAGATACCATCCACCTCTTAGGGCCTAGGAGAGGGCTGGAGGACGGAGTTTCGGAAGATTGCCGGCAGAAGTGCTCGGGCTGTCCCTGGGCTTACCTTGCAGGGAAACAGGACTGCYGAGGCCACTTTCTCCATAGCCAGATTCCTGATGCTGGGCGTCAGCGCGCCCCTGCACGTCGGGCAGCAGCTCAACTTCTGGCGGCATTGGTTACACACCAGGTGCCCGGCCTGGCACTGCAGGATGGGGGGCAGGACATAGTCAAAGCAGACCGGACACTCGAAGAGCGAGGTCAGCTCGTGGTGCTGCGGGGACACCGGGCCGGCCCCGCCGCCGCCTCCAGGGCCTGAGATCACCGCTGCCGCGGCGGGCACCGCGGACGAGCCGGGGCCCGCAGCCGAGATGGTGGCGGCGGCTGGGGGCGCAGCCGGGGACTGAGCGTGCTGGGTCTGCGGCGGCGGCGGCTGCTTGCTGCAGGGTTTGTTAGCGCTGGGGCCGGTGGAGGACGGGCGGCTCATCGCGCTCCGAACCAACCATGGAACTGCGGGCGCCTGCCTGCCGCGGGGCCGCCCGGGTCAAGGCGGTGCGCGCCCCGCGGGCGGCGGGCTCCGGGGCAACGCCACGGCGCCCAGCCGGGGACCGGGTGCCGGGACGATCGACCCAGGAAGGAGGAGTCTGGACTGCGCTGACGCTCTCTGCGGCCCCGGCGCTACTAACGCCCCTCAGCCTCCGACCCCTCGCGGTGCCCCGCTCTCGGTGGCCTTCGGCCCCGAACCCGAGCGGTGCGGAGAGCCCCGGCCCACCAGCTTCTGGAGCGGCAGCTGACGCAAGCCCCGGGGGCGCGCGCGGACGTGACGCCTGGACACGTGTGCGACCGCCCAGGCGCGCGGGGACTGGCAGAGCCACCCTGCGCCTGGGCGCGGGCTCCGCCCGGCTCCAGCTGGCAGCGCAGGGGCCGCCTAGCGCCGGCGCTTCCTGCTCGCGCGGCCGCCCGGCCCGCCCCAGAGCGCGAGCCGCCTTTCCGGGCTGGGCAGGGGGCCGCCCTCGGGGAAGGCGTCGCCCAAGTCCTCTGGCCACACCCCGGGGAGCCTTGGCGACGCGTAGCCGCAGCTCAAACCAGAAGGGCAACTTGAGGCCGAGCGGGGGCGTGGCGGTGGGCGGGCCGGGACGCGAGCGGGCGCCGGCGCGGGCGTCCCCGGACAGGTCGCCACCCCCAGGGGCGGCTTTTCTCCCTTCTGAGTCACCGGGGGGCTCGGGGGACGCGTGCGACGCGGCAGCCGGGCCTTGGTTTGGTCTGGACGCGCCGTACGACTGGACGCGAGCTGAGCGAGGGACTCGGGACCTAGTTCTGAGCTGGTGGAATGACGCCGGGCCACGCCTCGGTCCTCCCCGCCGGGCTGGTGGAGGTAGARGCCGCTCCTACCACCGCGAGCCTGGCCGAGGCTTCCTGGAATCGCGCGCCCGGCCTGCCTGCCCGGCCGGGGAGGGAATCACGAACTGCCTGGTCTAGGAGAGGTCGCGATCCCTTGGATGCTGGAACGTGGGTTGGGTTGAGGCCCAAGCCTCCAGCGGAACTCGCTGTGTACTCCTGGTGGATCTCGCCCAAGTGCAGGCTTTGAGCGAGGCGTGGCGTTCGCCCTGCGCGCCGCGCGGAGGCGCTGGAGAGGGCGCGAGAGCCAGGGGCGCACGTGCTCCGGAGGGTACGACTCCCACTCAGCTGCCTGTCAGAAAGTCTGCGCGAGCCTGGGCACTGAAGACGGGAAGGGCTTCCTATGGGGATTCATTTCTTTATGGGAAAAACGAAGGCGAGGAGCGACCCCGTCAGCATGACTGGGTTGAAAGTGTGCCCTTTACATGCCATCTGTGTGACTTTGAGCAAGTTCTTCAACTTCTCTGGGTCTTGTTTTCTCATCTGCAAAAGTGAATTAAAACACCTGTCTTATAGGTGGGGTAGTGAGGATTAAATGCGCTTTTATATTGTCAAGCTCTTAGAACTCACCCGTCTTCTGGTTGTTTAAATGTTAACTGTTAAGAAAATAGTAGTAAACATTTAATATTAATGTTAATTAACATCAGCATAGAATCTGACCAAGAAACAGCAATTAGAGCCCAGAAGAAATAAAGTTTAGTTTTATAAAGGATCTACAAAGACTTCATGCATGGAATTGGTGGAATTTGAGCTGAAACTCGAAAAAATAGTATAGATGTCACTTAATCATCCAGTTAAGTTTCCTGAGCGTTTATTATGTGCCAGCTACTGTTCAAGCTTGAGGATGGTTCTCATTCAGTTTACCTGCTTAGGAAGCAGGCCACTAACGTCATGGGGAGAATTTCCAATGTGTGGGGGAAATGGGGGTGGGACCTGCGGGGGAAGTGGGGCGCTGAAGCATCCTGAAGGTGCTGGGCAGGTGTCCTGGCCCTGGCGGAGGTGCTGGGAGTGCAGGGGTGTTCCGCCAGCGCGTGGGCAGCTTCAATTGGCTGCACATGACATTTACTTCAATGCTACAGGCAAGTGCCGTGAACTTTTAAAAGCTCTGGTACATGGCTGAACTTGAACTTTTGGATGGGTGCGGAGGGAAGGGTGAAGTAGCAATGGCTGACATTTATTGAGTGTGCAATGGCTGACATTTATTGAGTGTGCAGGTGGTTCTAGGGTTTTGCAACCACCCTGCACTGCAGATCCTGTTGTTGGGTCCCTGTGTGCTGAGGAGAGGGAGAGGAAGAATGGCTAGTTTGCTCAGGGTCACACAGCTGAGAAGAGGGGAACACTGCTGGCCCTCCCCTAGGCCCACCCCTGCTCTCAGTCCCCCAAGGCCTTCAGGTAATACTGCACACAGGACTGTCACACAGGCTAAAGGAAGCTCTGCATTTTTGTGGGCAAATTTCATGTAAATTCTTTCCTTAGCTGGTCTTGAGAAAAAGTAAATCACTTTCTGTTTATTCCATTTTCACCTTTTTTTGTAAGAACATAATAGCAATGACAGAAAAAGTGTCACATATAGTTTCACTTTTATTGGAGAAAATGTAACATTTTCCACTCAATTCAAAACCCGAGCAGTTGGAAGCTTTTACTGGAGTGTGTTCTTTCCCTTCTCTGCCCCCCCTGTACGGGCACCCCCATGCTCAGGGTKTACTGACTCTCATTGGAGAAGTGGGGTCCTCTTGTATGTTGACATGAGCATTCAGTGTCCAGCCGGACAGGCCCTGGGCACTCACACAGCAGTTTGGTTCTGCAGGGGGAGTGTTGAAACAAAGAACAGGAAAAGCAATTCTGTGCAGAGAGAGTTTGGTTTATTTTTCTAAAAATACAGCTGACCCATCCACTCTTAACCCTGGCAGATGCCTCCTGTGGTTCAGAGACTGTTCTTTTTGCTTCCTCTTTCAGATCCTTGCAATGCTGATTCAGTTGACTAGGGTGATTAGAAAACAAAAACCCTGGGCAATTGTAGGCAGTGGGCAAGAGAAGAGTGGACAGGCCTATTGGGTGAAGCTGGCCTTTCCAGTCCCCCCACCTTTTTTGTCTTCCTTCCCTGGGGTGTGTGAATCAGAGAAAGGTGACCTTTGCACCTTGAGCATTGTGAGCTAGAGCTCCTCTATCAGGAGGGTAGTCAACTAGAGCGCCACAGAGCTCCAACTCAGTGGGCATTCATGTGTGTGGAATTGAGTTGTTTGGGGGTTTATTTGCTCCTGATAGTGTTGCTGTTTCTGGGCCTCTGTTTAATGGGTGACTTTGTGGCCTGGGGGAGGGGAGTTCACTCTTTGTAACCTCCTGATTCATGATTCATTTCTCACACTTGCTGAAGAGAGGTTAACCTCCTTTTTCCTCCCACTGAGCCGTGGATTGCACTATGTCAGGCAAGACATCTTAACCTGACTCTGCTCTGTGCTCAACTTTAAAACTGGGGGCGTATTGAGTAATCCTTTCTTTCCTTAAAATCCAGGGTGAGTCGTGTTGAAGAACTCACAGGCAGGTGCCTCATTGCCCCTCAGTTGCTGAGCCCAGGGGGAAAGGCTCCGGCTGGGCAGGCCTGCACTTGCCCTTCTTTCTGTTACTTGCAAATTGTGTGGTTTTGCAAATTGGGCAACTTCTGCAGTTAGGCAAATGGTTCGTACTTGCGGAGCAAAATGTGCTGGACTTTTTCTGTTTAGGCTTAGAGATGACTCACATGCGAATCAGAGCTTGGGCATTTCTGGTAAGGGGAAAGTTATGGGAAATTTGGAGGTGACTCTGGGGTCCCCTGGTAATTATTATTATTTTTTTTAATAATTTATTTTTTAGTTATAAGTGTGCACAATATCTTTATTTTATTTTTATGTGGTGCTGAGGATTGAACCAGTGCCTCATGCATGCTAGGCAAGCGCTCTACCTCTGAGCCACAACCCCAATCCCCCAATTTTTTTTTTTTTAATGTGGTGCTGAGGATCGAACCTGGATCCCACCGTGCTAGGCGAGCGCTCTACCGCTGAACCACAATCCCAGCCCCACTCCCTGGTAATTATGATAGCTGTACAAGGTGTTATTAGCTTCGTAGAGTACTGCTGTTTCTGGGGTAACTTCACATGCTCAAAGTTCTTTTGAATAATTGTGGGTCATCAATTCAAGCCCTTGTTGGACAATCCCTTGGGCGTGGCGCCTGGCTGCCTGGAACCAGCCCATGGATTTGAATCACTTTCCCTCCACACTAGGCTAAGCTTCCTGAGGCCCACCTTGTGCCAGGTGCTACTAAAAAGCACTTTATATATTTCAGTTTTTTAAATCCTCATGATGTCTTTTATGAGGTCAGTGTTGCAGGTGAGAAAATTGAAGTGCACTTGTGATAAGTAGCCACTAAGGGGGCTCCAGTGCTGCCCCTCCCTTTAGTGAGGGCTGTTCTTGCTTTCAACGTAGGATGGGGCCAGTAGGATGGGGCCTGCATGATAGCCCGTCACTTCTGAGATTAGGTTACAAAAAGACTAGGATTTCTGTCTTGCTCTCCGTCCTTTGTCTCAGCTTGAGCTGCTGAAACAAAACACCACAAACTGAGTGGTATGCACAGCAAACATTTAGAAGTCCAAGATCAAGGTCGCGCGGGATTCACTGTCTACTAAGGGCCTGGTTCAGTCCTTCAGGGTGTTCTGAGGTGGCAAGGTGGGAGGCACCTAATCCATTGGTGAGGGCTCCACCCTCATGACTTCATCTAATCCCTAGAGCCTGGCTCCCAGTGGCCATCACAGTAGGGGCAGAGTGTGGACATTTAGCCCAGGGTACCCGTAAGCACAAATGGCAGAGTCTGCAGGGCAAGAGTGGGAAGTCTGGACGGCGGAATCTATTGTCAAACACCTGATGTGGCTCATTTTGGGGCAGAAAATGGTGATGGGGTAAAAGCAAGGGTCTGAGATTTACAGGCTTTATTTAGGGTGGGGCAGGAGGGTAGTCCCTGGGGTCCATTATATCAGGGTCCATTAGGGTGAGGCAGGAGTGTGGACAGGGAATTTCCTGGGGCTTATTGTATTGGGGTCAGCTGACCCATTAGGGTGAGGGTCAGGTGCCAGTCTGGTGAGTTCCATTTGTATTCTCCCCATTCGCTCTTCCTGCCCTCCCTCTGGCTGAGACCTGGGCTTTTAATGACAAAAGCTTCCATTTGACCCYAGAGAAGGGGGTTGGGGAACAGCTGCAGATAGGGGAAATGTCCTGAGACCTATTTTCCTGTATCCTCTAGTACTCTTGGGTCTTCTCTGTGGGTGAAGCCAGCTTCTGAGTTGGGAATAGCTCTAGAAAATGCCAATCTGGCAGGGAACTGAAGTCTCCAGGCCTACCCCGGGGTGACTTTGCAAGTGGATACCATCACAGCTGAGCCTCRTGATGATTGCAGAGCTGGGGGACAGTTGGTTGCACCCTTAACCAGTGACTCAGCTGAGCCAACACAGACACTGTGAGGTAAGGACTGTTGTGTGAAACCACCAACTT